GCAAATAAAGGTGCATAAACTATAAGGAGTCCCAGCAAAAAGCGGACACTCACCATCTCTACTCTCCTCACCAACGTCGTGAAATAGAGAAGTGAGCTCGTGTCAAGGACTTTATAAGAGCAAAAAAGAAGAGTGGTTTGCATAGAAGGCAGCAGTGGGAAGCCCGCGTGCATTTTCCCCCGGACTAGAAAATGAAAGAATTATCATTGTTTAGGGGGTTTACTTCCACTGCTGAACACGCGCTGGCATGTCACACACAAATACTCACACACACACACATACTCACACATACACAAACATACATAAAAATACACACTAATAATAATGATTTTGTTTCGTTTGTTTACTCAAAAACAATTCTTTTATACACATCCAAACATTTGTATCTTTCAGTTTACTTTGTTTTTAGCTGTCATTATCACTTGGAATCTATGTATAAATAAAACACTTTCCCCAGTACTGAATATGGGCTTAACACGTGTATTAGTGTTACTTGCATGTGTGTCTCTTGTTGTGATTGTGGGATGGCGGGTAGGGGCTTCCCCTGCTTTTACAGCGCAGTACTGCACTTTCCACTCCAGAGCGCAAGTGAAAGCAGATGATCATTTCCGGCAGGAATTCTGCAGGAAGAAAACACGAAAAAGGCGGAGCGACGTGACGAAATTCAATCTTATTACTTATCACTGATTCAACTTTGAAATTTGGTCAAAAGCGTTAATGATCAGTGTTGAAGGATCACCACTGAAGAAATATTAGCGTTAAGATCGTTTGTCATACATTGAAATGTAATTGCCAAACACTGGTCCTTTGTTTATGTTTTGAGTACTTTTCAACACACACACACACACACACACACACACACACACACAGGCAGTCTAACCTTTTAAGAGACAAATTATACTAATTATACTAAATTATATTATCTGTTCTATAGCTGCACTTGCTACTTAGTATAATTTAGGGTTCTAGCATCATCACTTGAAAATACTCAGAAAGAAACCCATCAATAGGTGAACTAATCCGCTGCTGGGGGCTCCTGAAAGGGTTGTCACAAACTGCTGCAAGGTCATAAAAATAGTGCAGTGGGTAATGAAATCACCTTAAATACAGAGAACTGGAGGTTTGATCTCCAGTCGAGTAGCACTGTAATGCAGTAATGAAAGTCCTCAGTTAGGTCTTCAAGCATTGCATTCGCCCTCTGTAATGAGTCTGCTGAATATGTAAGTGAGCTGTGTTATATTCTATAAATGCTGAGCTTAGTATGCCTTCAGTGTTAAATAAACACTGCACAGTCATGAAGGAAACATCCTTTCATCTTCAGCACTAACCCTGCTAAAAAAATCATAGAAACCATTGAAAGTTTCGGTTGGTTCCTGGTGGTGTCCAATAGTCTCTAACGGCATTGTGTATTTTCCTGATGGGTTAATATCACGGTGTATCACGGTGTATTTTAATGGTTTAACAGGTGTTCTAGGACTGATTCCAGATGCATTTGTTGGTTTCTTAACGGGATCTAAAGGTGTCCAATAGAGCACTAGTGGTCTCTTGTGGTGTCAATTAAGACAATTCTCATTAAAGAGCAAAACCATCAGGTTTTAATCCCAGTGAGTCTAATGGGCGGTTAAATCAACGTTGGATCAGTTTTCAATGGACGATTTTCCATCATTGAATCAACGGCCAAGATAACTGTATATTCAACGTCAGAGATCTACGTTAATTCAATGAAACTGTGCAAATCTAAACATCCCTGCTGAAAAACAACAGCTTAGACTGGCATGAATTCCAGTGTAAAACTGGTTTATACCGGTCTGCTGCTGATTTAGCTGGTCACTCAGCATGGTGATGACCAGCTAGCATCCAAAACACATAAGCTGGTAGCCAGCAGTGCTGCTCTATGCCGTTTTTTCTATCATGGATTTGGGAATGAATTTTTTGTTTTATTATGTTTTGTGTAAACGGACAGTGATTTCTAGAGACGTGGACAATATTGTTTTAATCGCTAATGTAATTAATGTATTCGATACAGTGTCCCATCTTTAGGTGTTGGTTTGAGATCATCGTGCGGAAATACAGGCAGCAGCTTCAGTTTGCCTTTTTGTGATTATCAATATTTTGTCATCATTCAGGGATTAACGGCGATGTGAATCTTGGGAAATGAAGTCTTACATCATGTCTGAGGAACGTGATGGTGATAAAGTGAATGTAGGTGTTATTTGCTGTGCTATTGTGAGCGGCTGGATAGTGAAAGTGAGCAATAGTTTCACTTTCGACTGGATGGCATAAACAATTTAAGCGTGTATTCCCACGCTCATGTTTCGTCATCACTGAGGTGTTTATGCTAATGTGAGTCTTACATCAACATTTGATGGATGAAAGTGAGTAATTTTTCACTTTCGGCTGGACGGATGGTGTAAAGTAGCTGACATAGTAAACAAAGCAGCTGTGTGTATTCCGCGCTAACGTTTTGTCATCATTGAGGAATTTATGTGTAGTCTTTTCTTACATCATCACTGATTGGGTGATTAAACGAGCAGACCATTTAGCCGTTGTAATGTACATAAAAAACATTTCAATACTGAATCTAAAAAAAATAGTATTTAACCAGTTCAATAATGGGAACATCTAAGGGACAATATTTTTTCTTTATTTCTTTTACATTGTCTTAATTTTCTTTACTTGGCTTAAATTGAAAGGATGGTTCTTCAAATACATAATGATTCTATTTAGAACCACGAGTTCTATATAGAACCATTCCAATATTTACACGGGGAAATGGTTTTTCAGATTTGTGGAAAATGTGCTGTAAATGGTTCTATACACCAAAAAGTGTTCTTTAGTTTAACATCATAATAAGAGAAGAACCCTTTTTTGGAGCTCTATAGAACAACTCATTCTTTGCATGGTGAAATGGTCCTTCAGATTAATGTAGAATGTGTTGTAGATGGTTAGCACCAAAAAGCGTTCTTAAGCTTGACAAGCTTGACGTCATAACAAGAAAAAATGTTCCATACAGAACCATAAACAACACATTCTCCAACAATCTGAAGAACCGTTTCACCATGCAAAGAACCATTTAGGTGTGAAATTGTTCTGTATAGAACTTATAGTTCTAGACAAAACTACTGCCTTTACTAAAAACCCTTGAAGAACCATTTTTAAGTGTGTAGCACCCGTGCTCCCTGCTGAAAAAATAAAGAACCGTTAGGATTAAAACCTGATGGTTTTGCTTTCGAATTGTAATAGGCTTAACGGTTACCATTAGAGACCATTAGCTTCCTGATGATTTCCTACCTTTAGATCACAGTAGGAACTCATCAAATGCAACTGGAATCAGTCCCAGAACACCTAGTAAACCATTAGAACCCTTTAAACTGTGATATCAACCCATCAGGAAAACACACAATACCATCAGTGAGTGTTGGACACCAACAAGAACCAACAGAAACTTTTAATGATTTTAATTTTTTTCAGCAGGGCTGGAGGACATAAAAGACATTACAATGATTTACTTCTAATGTTTTTATAATCCTTTATTTTCAGTTGAGTAACAGTATAACTGAAAAGATGGAAAAAACACAAAGACATTTTCTCCTTGCCATGATCTTCAGGAAATTTTGATGATTATTCCTGAGCGAGATGTTGAATGGATTCACACATTAATTTAAGAATAATTAGATTGATTTAATAGAATTTAACAGTTGTATTTAATAGTTGTTTTGTAAAGTAAAGTGTAGTTGTACTGAGATGGGGTAGGCAGAAATGCTGTAGGTTTCATTAATGTTAGTTATTTATCTGAAACGTGCACATAAGTTGTTGTGAAGGACATTTTATTCATGCTCAGAATGTCTTTTACCTTCACTTTACATATATGTACATGTATTATCATTTGGTCACAATTGGCACCGCAATGTGTCGGTGACAGTGTGAAAGTAGGTGTAATCTGACCTGCTACCGTGTTTCATTTTCAACTTTCGGATGTCATCATGTACTTGAGGCCATAAACAATGCAGTCACGTATTCCTGTGCAAATACACTGTGAGTGTAGTGTTACGTCAGGAGTTCATATCAGGCAATGTCACATTATCTGATTACTGAGTGGATCTAGATCACTCAAAATGACCTACACGTCAATCACTGGGTCACAGTCCAACTACACTGGCTAATCTTTAGCCCTTATGCAAAGTAAGCCTGATTCAAGCTACATTCAAAGGGGAATTCCACCGATTTTCAAATTTTCTGTGTAATTCAGTTGCTGAAATGTGAACAAAGTCTGTCAACAATTCTGACTGTACTGCAGAGCATTTCACGCAAGACCATGCTGAATAAAATTGTTTACATTTTAACGATGGAACACTTTGGTGTTTTTTTTTCCGAGCAGGGAACTGCTACATTAAATAAAACTCATCCTTAAACAGTATGCATGGACATCACTGCTCCTCTAGAAGATTCATAAATATCATCTTTTAAAGCATCTTTCTCAGTAAGACTTTCTCTTTTAAATATTAACACATACTCACACATACTGTTTCATTTGAGTAGAGATTTATTATTGAACATATTAATTAAATAATTTAATAAGTTAACCACAAAAACAGGATGCACTTATACCATTAAAACTCAAATATGTCTCTACAAACAATATAAAACAGAAATGTACATGACATTATCTGAACTGGATTGGTGAAATCATTGAATTTAAGCCACAGCTAGGTCTTAGGTAAAAATATTTAAAGTTTTATACAATTTTAATAACGTTTTTAAAAAAGTTCTTCACAAGAATAGAGCAAGCAAATATAACTGAAGTAGGTCAGACTTAGATTTTAAGGGGAAATCTGAATGTAATACAAAACACCACCGTTAGGGGTCAGCAGCGCTCCTTTTTTTCTCACTTGCCCTGCCCTTACGCTGGGATTGGCCACAGTATAAATTACAAGCCAATCCAAGTGCGAAAGAGGAGATATTACTAGCCAATCAATCGTATGAGGCGGGGCTTGTGGCCTTATTAGTTTAACAGTATTACGCATTATGTTCAAGACACCCAAAATCTGGTAAGCAACAGTAACTAACGTTTATCATTTTCACAGTTTTTAGTTATAGCTATGTTTGTTTTATAATGTATGTTTTCCATGCCTTTACAAAGTTCCTGAAATGTGGTCTGTGTGGGGTCTGCAAGCAAGCATTTCAACAAGAAAAACCTCTTTAGCTTTAGCCAGGTAGCAAATCAAAAACTGTCATAAGCAGTGCTAACATTAACACTGCAGGCCGGAAAAAGGGGCACATTTTATAACTACAAGGTTGTAAGATCAGAATCCTTTATAATACATTAGAGAGCAGTATGAATAAGCCATGAATGCACTGTGTACAAAATTGGTGCTGAAAATATGACATGACATGAAGGGATTTACACACAGTAAACATGTGCACGCTTGTTTAAGATCTCAGCAGGTCTCATTTTGCATTTCCATTCTGTAGTGCAGGTAATTCCACACCATCTAAACCAAGAGACGTCCATATGAATCTAAGCAAAAGCTAAACACATTGTCAAAATGCGTAATAAAATTGATGGGACTGCTTTCATTTAGTGTTTGCACTGCATATTACTGGATGCAGACTGAGTTGTGTGCAAGCAGTATTGGGCACAGGTGAAAGTACAAAAGACAAAAACAAGGGTATTTCCATTAAAAGCATGTGTAATAGCAATACATTTGTAACAATGACAATATAATGTAAACATATTGGAGCATTATCTGTATTTCCAGTGTAAATATCACTGGGATAACAAACCTCTGTCTCTTCAGAATGGGAACATATGTTCTTGTCCTTAATGTACATTAATGTAACACAACCCTAAGTCATTTTGAACCATTTCTTTGGGTCCCTTTGACATAAAATGTTCACACAACATAAAAGGCAGCTAGTGTTTTCAAATGGGGTAAAAAAAATAATAACCAAAAACAAATGGAGTCATGCATGTTTGATATGATAGTAAAACAAGGCAAATTCAGTTTCTATTATACCTGTTTTCAAAATTCCATACATATGCATACATGCATTGGCCTTCACTACAGAGTGAGCTTGGGGTGAGGATGTGTGAATCCTGCGCCGGAAATGAGATAGCCAGAGCAGGGGAAGAGCTGTGTGGCTGCCCTCAGTGGACAGGAAAGAGGTTGTTTCCTTCCAGGGGATGGAGAGAAGAGAGAAAGAGAAGGACAGACAGGCAGTCTGTTATACTTAGGTGTACACTTCCTAATCTGCCTCAGGTGTTCAACTACACTCTGAAGGGTTCTTTGAAGCAGTGCCATAGAGCAGGTCTGCCTAAAGTGGGGCGGAGGGTCAAAACTGGCCTGTTTGAATGTTAAATGTTGACTATTCTCCATTTAAAATGGTAATTTTAGGCATTTAAGTCACAAAAATGGTGTAATGTTCTAAAATAAATTCTAAGAAAAAAGGGTTGGTATAGCCTAGTAAAGTGAGTAATACTGTTGCTTTCCATACAGCACACTTGGGTTCGATTCCCCACCCAGGCAACCATACTATACCAATAAGAGTCACTGGGCAAGACTCCTAATGCTGCATTGCCTACATTTGTAAATTTAATTCAAATGTAAGTTGCCCTAGATAAGAGCATCTGCAAAATGTGTAAATGTTTAATTTGAAACCCACCTTCTTTATTTATATACTATTTTGTCTATTTGGCCCTCAGACCACCACAAAGTTTGGACAGGACAAAAAGTTTGGCACACTCTTTCATAGAGGAACTACTTTTGGTTCCCTTTAAGAGCATTTCAGTGGATGGTTCTGTAATGAGCCATTTTTAATGGCAAAGGTTCTGTACCATATAAGGGTTATTCTAGAACCATATATCCAAGCAAAAACCATTTAGGAACCATTATTTTTAAAAGTGTCAGGCTTCAGCTATAAGTCTTTGTAAGCCAGTCTAGTCTTAATTCCTAACTCAGGCTGGGTGATAGTTGCCTTAAGCTTAATTCCAACACAACTACAGTGCAGTGTCACCATTTTTGTTGTTTAGACTCGGTTCTCCAGCACATTGACAGTGATTGAAGCAGACTCATGATGCAAATGTGACATCTAGAATCAACATTTAACCACTTGTTTCTTGTGTATGGGCAAATTAACATAGCAGATGCAGATGTACTTGTGATGTCATGTAGAACTAAATTGGAACATTGTGCACTTCCAGTGTGCTGGAGTACAAAATTGAAACACCAAAAATGAAATCACTGTCCCTTTACTCATGGGCTGCAGTCTACATTGCCTTCATAGATAGAAATTCTGTGATAAAATCTGTGGAAGGGGGACCATGTTTTAACTATCTTTGACTAGCAGCTAAAAACAATTCAAGAGATGTCAAAAGATGCAATTTTTTGCCTTCCTCCTTTCCCTGTTGACCCCAATTTATCTATCCATGTTCGCCCACAAAATCTGTTCTTTTGTAACTTCTGTTGCCACAGTTGTGGCAGAATGTTAGCAAAAATCCCATTCAATCCCTTTTTGTGTGTATTATTAATTTTAAGCCAAATATTTGTTTTGTATGCATCTTTCTTGTTTGCTATTACTAATTAGTTTCACTTAGCTTGAGGCAATATGCACTTTCTGTTTTTATCTCTATGGCTAGTGTGACTTTTTTCCAGCAAATTCAAATTTGTATTCAACAAAGCCACTGCAGCTAATAATGTAGGCCAAGACATTAACTCAGTTAGCTAGCAGCGTTGAAACAGCTGGAGCCTATGAACTTCCTGCTAGTCAGAAGTTGATAAACAAAATCTTGAATTCATGACAAAAAACTTCATTTAATCATCTACAGTATGACCTTTCACCTGCATTGAAAATAAATGTGATTTGAAATTAACAAACCACTTTAAATCTAGATAATCTGATAACAACTGATTTGTGCGCTACAATTTCTCATTAGGCTGAATAGGATTTTGCCAATGTTTTGTCAGGTTTGTCCAACCTCACAACAACAGCAATGAAAAAATGCACAGGTATGTTAGTTCTCCCATGAATCAATGAAATCCTGCTGTTATCTTTACTAATTAGTGGAGAATATCTGAGGCATGATTGAACAAGGCCCCAGCAGCAATAGAGAAGAAATAGAATCCATCAGTGGATACTACTGGCTAAGCAAATTTCTAGAAATTTATCAGATTCAGCTGCACTCAGCTCCACAGTAAACCTTGATTGCAGCATTCTACAGATGGCTGACTTGGAGTCAGGTCTGGTTTTCAGCGCCCCCCCCCCTTTCAGCTATGGTTCAAAGTGCACTCTGTGTTTGGGGGTAGTTGGCTCCATATCACTAAAAAAAGGGCAATGTCTATTCTGGAGCTCATTGACGACCAAAGATCTTAGATAGCTGGCAGGTGGCCCCAGCTTGTCATTAGCTTTACAAACTTTTGCAAAGGACCTATGAGATCATTGTAGAGAATGTGACTGATATTTCAAAATAAAGGTGCAAAAAAGGGTTCTTTGGAGCGATGCCTTACAATAGGGGTCTCAGTCTCAAATGATTTCTCCAAGGGACAGATGGAAAAAATCTTTTTTTTTTCTAAGTATGAACTTTAACTACAAACATGCACACTAATTTATGTATATATATATATATATATATATATATATATATATATATATATATATATATATATATATATCTTTGTCAACTTCTATGATGACTACAAAAATTATTAGTAGTAGTTGTGGTATTAATAGGATACATATTTAGTGTTTAATAAATAATTCAGTGATCAATCAAATTAAGTAAACTTATTTAATTTAAATTTAACAGTAGAATCACATGGGACTCCAATTGTGATAGCAGTATCATTCTTGCTGAACATGAGTGAAGTGACTGAAAATGAACTGCAGTTCATTCTGCATTCACAGTAGATTTGTTTGATAATTCCATTTATTTCTTAATTCTGACATGCTGTATGTACCATACTTCACACATGAATCCACAACAGGCAGGTTTAATTAACTGTCTGTTAGTTAGAATAAGAATAATAGCTAATTTATAGCTAAATTTTAGCTGTGCCTGCTCAGTGTGCAGCATTCATGTTTCCTTTTGCGTGCAGTGTAACAGTGTAAACATCAGCCAAAGCTGATTTGATATAGCTTGTTAGGTAATCAGCCACAGTGTCTGGTGGGTAAAACAAATATACCCATCAAATGTCAATGCTTAGCCACAGAAAAATGTCAAATGATTTGTGTATAGGCCAGATTTAAAGTAACCCTGAATTAATAAATTAAAACATCCAAAACTTCCACATTTTTACTAATTATTATGTCCAAGAAACTATTTAAACGGCATAGGAGGGTCCCTAAACCTCAGGTGTTCAATAAGATTGCGATGTGCACAAATATGTCCCAATTCTGCATGACTGTAAATGTCCCCTTTTTCCCCTTCCCCTTAGGCCACTCGGCCATCCTGACCCCTTCCCCCATGCTGTCTCTATTTTTGAATAGTTAAGGACAGAAACAAACATAAACTCCCACTGTAACTTTAATAATCATAAAGATTCTGTCTTTATATCAATCCTGCACAAGTTGCTCAGATTTGAGTTTTTAACCTCGACACCTCGACATCAGTGTAGCGTCAGTGAGTCAGACTTGCTGGTGGCTTACTATTCTCGCTAAGCTGTTAGCCTCTGGTGCTAACAAGAATTTGAATTGTAAGTAGCTTAAGCTAACAGCTCCATGAAAAACCACAGGTTTACCCACTCAGATTTGAGTCTTTATTCTCAAAACAGTCAGTGGGGCATCAGTCAGCCAGAATGAATCTCTGTGGTTGTGTGCAAAGCTGTTTAGGCCTTCTCACTAATCTAATACTAGGTACAAGTGCTAATGTATAGCGGTGCAGCTGCAGGACCATAACATTCAACCAGTGGCACTGCCTGGCACATTCTTTCATTAGCATACTGTAGTATATTGGCCCGTGATAACTTTCAAGCTAATTTAAGCCCCACAAATCACTTATATTTCACATTTACTGAGATGGCCTGTGTTTTCAATAGAATATTGTAAACTCTGCAGCATGGTAACACATTTGATATGAATATCAGTCTATATGACAATAATAAGCCATCCAAAGAGGAGTTAACCATTTAAAAACACATTTTTGAGTGCAGGGAGCTCTTTAAGGATAAAGTATATATGTGAGGGTGCCATGCAGGCCATTAGTTTGAGACCCCAACCATAGAAGCACCACTTTTTTCCCTAAAGAAGCTTTAAATGAATTCAACAAAGACCCATTTTTTTAACTGAGATGTGTGGAAGCGTAGAACCTTTTTAAAGTTTTAAAAACTCCCCATAATGCAAAGGTTTTAAACCAAATAACCCAACAATCTTTTAGGAACCCTTATTTTTAAGAGTGTATTTCAAGATGTCCTACTGCTTTCTGGTACTCCACCTGCACAATGCACCAATTATTCTGGTGCATTTATAACTTTAAATAGTTCACAGTTATCTGAACCAGTGAGGTAAAACTACAGTGCCACTCTCAGTCAGAAAAACATTTCCATTTGTTTCCCATTTGGAACAGCACATTTTCATTCACTCCACCCTGTCAACACATTCCTGACTCTGGCAGCTCGGGTGGGGCGTGTTTTTTTGGCCCTCACCCATTCTATGGGTTTAGTGGTAAAGACACTCCTCCTCTAGGTCTGGTCTCCATAGGAGGCCACCTCGCTATAGTCCAATTCCAGTCTCCGTCAGCCACAGCGGAATCGCTGCCGAACTTGTGCAACTGCAGGGAGGGGAAAAGCCACTGGAGCCCAAATGGGCGTGATTCAACCACTAGAGGCTATTATTAGAAGGCGCATGGGGACTCTTGGCAATGCTTAAAGATTTGAGTTCTATGGATGACAGTGATAGGAGTGTCAGTCTTTAAACAGAATCAGAAGACATAGTGAGAGTGAGCATCTAATTATGTTAGTAATTAATGTGCTATCTCCTTTGCCGAAAATGTAATAGAATGTTTAGCTAATGTACAAATGAACAGGAGACGCAGAAAATGCAACCAACTCCTAAAACTGAACTTTGGAGGCGTGAAAGAGAATCCCTGGAGATTTCTTTGAAAAAATGAAAGCAAGTCTCCAGAGAAGAATGGAAGCTATAATAAAGGCAAAGACAACATTTGTGTTTTATATGCAATCAATCTTACATGCTTTGAGAAGCAGCATCCTTAGAAGTGTCATCCAAGTAGGGGTCGGGAATATGATGATAACAGTATTTATTGTTATCGTGATAAATTACATGATATCACAATATGCTTTTCTGAGCATACTGTGGATATCGCCAGCACTTAAAGAACACTGACCAACTGCATGCTGCGTTGCAAAGAGAGTATTAGGCCTATTTAACTGAAATTTGTTGTGCCGTATCTGATATATTAAATAAAAAGAAAAAAGTTTTTTTTTGTCTCATCAAACTTCAGAAAAACTTGTCATGATGTATCAAAAAATGTTTTGAAGTATCAATATAGTGTTATATTGTTGCCATATCGCCCACTGCTATATCCAAGCACAAAGTAATGCTGATTATCCCTTTGATAAAACAGAAAAAAAGTTTATTAATTTAATGTACTCATTCATGTTGCACTCACATATGTATTTTCTCTTAGCAAACTTGGCCGCTACATATATAAAGAGTCAGTGTAGGGTACCTACTTCAAAATGCTTAATTATTGAGTTGGCAGCTGTATTGTTGTAGCTATTTGAAACTAGGCAGGTTTGAAATGACAATGTCACCATGCTAATGCCTCTCAATTATTGTTATTATTTTTACTATATATTTTATCGTCTTTCTCTTTGTTTGAACAGCCTAAATGTCCTTCGACTCACTTCATATATTTTGTCCCTATCCCAAACTTTACCACCAGCCACCGTTGCCTGTCTTGTACTAACACTGTGACCTTTAACATGCATACGAAATGAATATAAGTTGAAATTATTTAGGCATTCTTAAAAGTTTACATGAGGTTGAATGGGATTTTTGCCAGCATTCTGTAAACCTTGTCCATCTTAGCAACAAATATGTCAAATATGCTAAAGTTGGAACAAAATGTGGGAAAAAACATTTGCTTTATAGGTTCGGAATTTCTTTTCTTTCTAACCTTAGATCAGTAAGTGACTAATCTGCTAGTCACGGGTTTTGCTTGGGGGTACAATGCATTGCAAAGCCCAAAACAATTAATGGGTAGTATGATGAATACCAAGCTTACTTTATAAATTTGTGGCCATTATTGTTTTCTCTGGTGAGGATGGATTTCCTGTCATGAGTCAAGTTTCATGTTGTGATGGCAAAAGTAAATGTTGCTAAGCATCACTTTTTGTATTCAAAACTTACAGTAAAAATAACCTATAGTATAGTAACTTACAGGATCAGTTAGCCGGACAGTGATTAAGCCTAGCCATGGACTTTGTTTTCCTTTCAATGGAAAATCTCCCATCCAGCCCAGGACTAGGCTGAAACCACCCATACAGATATACTAAATTAAGGCCACAAAACTGCAGTGCACACAAAAAGTGTGAATATAGATCTACTACAGTTCAGACCTATTACCTGTTGACTGCTCACTACAAAGCATTACAAATATCGACACATGAAGCAAAATTTTTAAAATACAGCCTAACCACCAGTCTCTCTCTCTGTGTCTCTCTTCCTGTTGCTGGCTGTCTCTCTCCTCTGAAGCTGTGATGTGTACTCTGGAACAGGAAATGAGTGCAGACAGAGGAGGCAGGCAAGCTGAAACCGGCACAAGGCTCTGCTGCACACACAAACACACACGCTCATACTCGCGTATACGCTCTCACACTGGCCACGCGCTGCGTCTGCCAGCACTGGAACTTCAGATAAAAGGACAGACAAAACACTGAAGCAAAAAGAGAGGGAGCAAAAGCAACAAAAAAACGAGTGAAAGATAAGAGGAAATAAAAAGAAAAAGGACAGATATCTGAGTGGTGTTGGCTGGAATTTTTAAAGACTGAGGAAGAAAGAAAGGCGTCTGGTTAGGATGGTGCTGCAGTCTCCTTCCACCAGGTACACTTTTGAACTTCTAACATGCGCTTCCTTTTTTCTGTTTCTGTACTGTAGTTCTATGTGCTTCCAACTGCTTTGTGTTCCTTAAAATAGTTTTTGGGTTTCCAGCTGGTAACTGAAGGGCTGGAGTGAATGTGAAATAAGAACTATCCTTTTTCTGTTCTTTGAGTAGTTGAGCAGGCAGACAGATGTTTTTCCCACAGTACCAGCACCAGTTAGAGAGAAATGTTGTCAATTGCAGGTCTCAATCTATGCTCAAATGCTCTTGAGCTTTATAGCTGAGTCGGAGCAGCTAGTAACTACATCTGTATAGACCTGAAAAAATCATTTTTCATTTTTATGTTTATTGAAATCTATACCATATACCAAAACTTAACCTAGAAGAGCAGCAGAGGTGATCTCAGATCAATGTATACATGATTTTTAAAGCTATGTAGTATGGGCTTCATAGATAGAGTTTAACAGCATTCTGCAATCATCAAATACGTCTTGGGACAGCTTCCCGGACATGGAACAAGCCTAGCCCTGGACTAGAAACCATTCTGAATGGAGATTCCCCTTTGGAAGTATAGGCGACGAAATCTCTGTCCAGGAAACCGGCCTCTAAAGTTTAACATAGGGTTATTCTGCCCATTATCTCATCTGCATATGTTACATATTATCCGTGTCATATCAAAATCTCATAACTCCTTATTTTTTCAGCTAAAAACTCAACATGACTGAACATTTGACGTACAGGCCAACGGAAACAGTCCAAAATTGTCTCGCTACATTAATGTACAAGGAGATTTATTTTCTATGAAGTTATGAGATGGTCTTGTTATCATAGTATGGACATAATATTCATTTGTGCCTATTTAAAATCCCGTTAATAACTACCTTAGGATTATCTGTATGTAAACATTCACTTGCATTCCAAAATTGTAAATTTAAAGTATTTTCAAGCCTCCTGAAATTCAGATCTAAAAAAATCTAATTTAAAAGCAGGAATAAACAGAATTATACCATTATGTTTGTTCTTGCTTTTAATATGATTTTGATTGTGATCTGCTGGTGGTGGTGTTATTTCTTCAATGATTGTCTTCTTGGTTGTTGTGTGCTGCCATCTTGGCCAGAACTCACTAGCAAAAGAGATTTTTAATCTCAGTGTGACGACCCTGGTTAAATAATGATAAAATTAAACAATGTACCTTTTGTTGTTTTTTAAAGTAAAAAAGGAGTTATCACATCCTCTGCAGTGAACAAACATAAATATTTTTATTATATTTTTATTTATACTTTTGTACATTTTAATTGCACAATTTAATGCAAATTGAATGCACAAATGCAACATTTTCCAAGCACATGATTCCACGTGATTGTCATTGGAGTGTTTTTTATGATACCAATAATGGGATGGGGATGGTGAAATTTCATTGTTGTTATGATGTCACACGGTTGGCATACTGGTCTGTAAAAAAACCTTATGGCTGATATCAGTTCTGTGATTCAGAAATAGAAAGTTTGCGGTGACAAACACGCCTGCTAAACTTGGAAACAAACTGTTAAATCAGGTGTGTTTGAGTAGGGAAATCACTAAACATGTCTGGACTAAAGTCCTCCAGGACTGAAGCTGGACTCCTTATGCTGTAAGAAGTATCTTGTCAAAGTCTCTTTCCCTTAGGCTTTAGGCGTAGGCTTTTAACTACCTTTGCATTTAACTACCTTCCAAACAACTAGTCCTAACGTTTTTCTCAAGAGCTTGTTTTGATGACTCTTGATGTATGCAGACTAAACACTCTTTATTTTGAGGAGTGTTTTGGTGCACTGGCCTCGTTTTGATGTGCTTTTGCTGGGCTTGTTTTGAGCGGTGTTTTGATGTGTGAGTTACGGGGTGTTTCAGTGTGTTTTCTGCAGAATGTGGAGGTGTATGTACTGAAGCAGTGGCCAATGACTGCTTGCACTGCATTCCTGAGTGTATGGAGCTGAGGTGGGTGTGGAGCAAGAGTGAATCACCGCAGGTTTGCTCCAGCAATGCTAAATCATTGTGAATTCCACTCCAGTCCTACTACACCTCTACGTCTCCCTCTCAGGCCTTTAGAGACTTCCCCAAGGTCCTTTAGAAGTGACAAGAAGTGGCGGTTGTGTGGACCCTAATTTTCCAACCTCTCCTTATCCTTTAGAATTAAACAGGCTGCGTTACTGTGCCTTTAAGACCGATTCAATATGAAGAAGCTTGGTTCTGATTGGCTGTCCTGTATATTGCCTTTTTCAAAAAGCAGTCAGACCTGGGACACTCTATAACTTCAATAACTGGGCGGAGCAAAACTGCATTGAATAGGTGAATGTATGTAAATGGTTGCACATTTAATTCAAAACAGGCTTTTTGCAGCTTAGTTTCCAAATATGGATTCTATGGACTGGGGAGCAAAACGAATTTTGAAAATTGCAACAATATTTACATATTAGTTCTTATTTAAAAAAAGTGAGGTAAATATGGTTTTCCATGAGATGGACCCCTTTAAGAGCATATACTCCTTTATACTCCTACCTAATACAGGAAATAGCCTTGCCTTCTGCCAGTGCAAAATCAGGGCTCAAGGTTTTGGCTCAGTGTCCAGCCCCTGGCTCTATGGAATCTAAGCCTGAAACCTTGGCCTGGGCTAATTTTGGAAGCAAATGTGGATCACGCAAAAGTGGCTTATTTGTTGTGGGCTACGCTGAAGCTTGCAGACCCATTTTATCCCTTCCAGAGTGGACATCCTGCAGAGGTAGCAGACACACCACGCCGAGGTCACAGAGAGGAAAAACAAGAGGTTTCCGTGTTTAAACAGCAGCTGAATGGAAACGGCCTCCTCCAATTGTTCTCTGACTGTAGCTTTTTCTGCTGGAGGGTGTTCCCTCTCTTCACCCCCCCCAACACACACACACACACACACCACCACCACCACCACCTATGCCTGCGGCATGCACAGATACCAAGAATTTTTTTAGTGTACCTGCTCCAACATGATGAATCCCGGCCAGGGACAGTGTGGGTGTCATTCCTGCCCTGCTGCTCAAGAATCACCCGAAAGCTGAGAGTCGCCAAACAGGTTCTGAATGTTCCCTGTCTGTATTCATGTCTGTGTGGATGCACAAACAAACACACTCCCATACAAGCCCGCAGTCAGGAAGATGCAGTAACTTTATATCAGTATCATTTGTTGTAGAACTGGAGAATCTGTCTGGATGACACTGTGTTCCTTTGGTAGACCACAGGTCCGCCATTGCACCCAGTTCATTTCCACCCCCTTTTTAGCAGAAAAGCAGTAGCTTGGCTGTTGTTTGCACTTGATTCCCTCCCTCTGGAGGGAAGAGAACATCTGTGCTCTCGGTGTGTTCAGGGTTGGTGCCTCACGTCTCTCGTCCTTCACTGCACTGTCACAGACATGTTGAGGCAGGTTATGGGAACGAGAAAGACACCTGGGCTGTTTTTGCAATGATGTTCTTTGAAGCAGGTCTTACAAGATCACTGTGTAGTCACTAAGTGACTTGGGCCTTAAAGACTCATCTTGATGTGACATGTTCCACGTCTGGCACTACATCACTTCAACTTGCTCTAACATATATATATATATTGTATTAAAGACACTCCATATTCCAAGCATATTGGGAAAAAAGCAAGAACTTAGTGATTAACAAATATCTATTTATAGTAATATCCCGATAATCTGATTATGACTATTCAAATATGAAGCATTCTTAATTTTATTTTAATTTTCAGTGCTATACAGCTTTCTCAGTCACTATTCAATCATCTTGTAACAACATGCACCATGAAAAAAGTGTGTGTGTGTGTGTGTGTGTGTGTGTGTATATATACAACAACACAACAACTTCTAAAACACTATATAACATCATAACAAATACAAACAAATTAAAAAATAACTAGAATTTTTATAAATAGAATTCTTTTCAAAAATGTAGTTGATGTTTTTGAGCTAGTTAAGAGCTCAGTGTGGTTCCAGATTTCTCCATGATGGCCCAGCCATCACATGTATTTGTTAAATTTCATCAGTAGCAAACTTGATTGAGCCAAACCAGGTATTGGATGATAAGTACAAATGACACTGGGCTTCCTTGAGGAGTGGTTAGGAAATGGTTAAGCAAAAAATGCTTACCCCAGATAAACAGCTTTTTAAATATATTTTTTTGCCAAGTGTATAACCTTATTGCACAGTACTGATTATAGTGCTAGTCAAAAGTTTGAATATGCCTGATAGAATGCATACCATGATATTTTGACCTAAAGGCTGCAAAGAGTCTAAAACATTACACAATTTTAATTTTGACATGTATGTGGTTTTTACAGTAATCTTCATAATTCATCAGGCCTCTTTTTTGATACATAACACTTTCTCCTGCCTGTAGGTGTCCCAGATGACTTTTAAAAGTATGCATTTAGGTGGCTGGGAACCCTACATATTATGATTCTTAATAGAGCTATGAGTTTTATTGCCACCACCCTTTGTTCAACATGCAGAGTTCTACATAATTAAAATAATTAGAGCTGTTTTGAGTTCCAGAGGGAAGCTCAAGAACAATTTTTAAGTGCAATTCCACAGCCCTACAGTGATACAAACATAATCACATGGACTTTACTCTTCAGTTTATTCAGTTATGGAACGCAACTCCCACACAATTAAATGGTCACTGTAGTTGCTAATCAGTTTATAACCACTCTCAGCAACAGAGAAAATGGTGAAATGCTCTAACAGTGAACAACAACGAGAGCCAAAGTATAAATAAATACGCCTACCCGGGGTTGCCAGATTGAGCCAAAAAATGTTCAGAACGTGTGGAAACATATTCAGAATACATCTTGGTAAGGCACATGGGGAAATCTTTTTTTATTAATTCACACTGTTTCTTACTGTTACTGGGTGGCCGTTTTGTTCATGTGATTATTCTGTTAATACATGTCATGAAAAATTCATTTTGAAAATTCTCAACATTTTTTTCCTTCTCACCGTGGCCCA